ATTGTCTGCCAGGCTAATCACCGGCCCTCCTGAAATGTAATTTAGTTCGGGTACACAAAGGGGTGTACACATTGAAGTACTCAGTAAATGGAACATATGAATGCTCCAGGCTATTGTAAAAAAACCCAGATAATTGCCAGTAAAAAGGGGTTCACGGTGAGGAGAAGAGGGAGCGGAGTTAGAGAAAACAGTGATTTAGATTGTGGGGACAGCGAATGCCTGGCTCAGGAGTATGCTTTTAGTACCATTGGCAACAGAGGAGACTTGAAACCTTCTGCGAAATGAAGGGTCGCGGGAAAAGTGGCTTACAGAGATCAATCTGTTGGTGGAACGTACCATGGTTTTGCAGGGCTTGGAGGCAACAGGAGGCTATTTGCTTTTGAGTTGATAAGGGCATCTGGCAATGTAAAGGAAGGATTGAACAGGAAAAGGACGGTAGGAAACCAGACCATGGGGGAGGATATATGAGGTTTCCCTGAGAGCAATAAGTTAGGAGGACTGGTCTGAGATGGGGTGAGGGAGGCATGGCAACCTGCTGGGTTTAGACTGTTGGCAGGACACGTGGTCTATGATGTCTAAAGTAGTTCATTTCTGCCACATGAAATGTAGAAATGTAGTTTAGTTGGGGGACACAAAGGGGTACACATTGAAATACTCAATAAATGGAACATTCGAATGCTCCAGGCTATTTTAAAAAAACAGATAAACGGGTATGCTGACCAGAGCTGCAGCTTGTACACCTCTGCTCCAAGGTGGGCTTGCGTGGGAGTTATTTATTTATTTTAATATATTTTATTGATTTTTTTACAGAGAGGAAGGGAGAGGGATAGAGAATTAGAAACATCGATGAAAGAGATCAGTTGCCTCCTGCCCCCCCCTCCACTGGGATGTGTCCACAACCAAGGTACATGCCTTTGACTGGGATGGAACCTGGGACCCTTCAGTCCACAGGCCGTCGCTCTATCCACTGAGCCAACCCGGTTAGGGTGTGTGGGAGTTATTAAATGGTTTTGCACACTCAACTTTGTCCCTTTTAGGTAGGAGAGAGAGCATCTGCTGCCTGAGCAGTCCCAGTCCTCCAGGGGCTTATAAGCTAGTCAGGGAGTTATAATTTTAATAGAATTAGCTAAAAGATGAACAAAGGTCAGGCGGAGGTTGGGTAGTATGTCCTGGCTGCTAACTTTGACATGCTAAGTGTAGCATTATTAATGCCTCTTATGCATGGCTAAGAGGGCTAACACTTAGCAAATTAGATTCCTTAATTTTTTTTGTCCTGTTCTTATAATTTATGGGTACGACAGAGTATATTACTTTGGGCAAAACATTTAATCCCTCCGTGCCTTGGCTTCCTGTTTATGAGATAGGAAGCTTGTAGTGGCAGCATTCATAAACATTTAGAAAGCCACAGATAAAAAGCACTGTAGGATTCTCTCTCCTCCTACTCCCACCCCCAACTACTGAGTCAGTCTTTCCAAAAGGTCATCCATTTCATTGAATTCTCTCAATTGCTAACTCCCTAAGCCAGTTAATTAGCATCTTTCTAAAATGCTTCCATCCGTTCAGAGCTGAAAGATGTAGTCTCTCACTGCCTTTTTGACCTTCTCTGCCTGCCCATCTTGCTGACCCCTTTTTATTCAGTGGCTGCTGCCATGTGACTCCCATCTCCAAGTTCTTGGATCAGTTCCAGCCATCCCGGAGGGAATTAGAGTCCTATATTAACACTCTGGAACCTCAACCAGACAACAATGGTCAGTGAGAAATTCAGTCTCAGTTCTTTGTATTAAGCTCCTGCTTTGTCTCTAAGTCTCACTCTGTCTACCAGGTCTGGCCTTCGGATACTTGTTTTATCGCCCAAGTCCTTGCCGGCCTCCCCTTTCCCCCTCTCCCCTGCCATTTGCCCAATACATTATCTCAAGGACCTGAATTTTATTTGTTTTCATCAATTCCTCATAGGGAGAGAAATCCAGACCTGAGATCCAGCACCGAGCCTGGGGCCTTGCTATAAGCAACACGTTTTCTTGATGCCTGACATGATTTCCCAATTGTTGTCTGCTCCTGGGTTTCCCAACATTGTGTTCCAGCAGCCCATTGGCTTACAACACTCCTCTCTGTTGAATCAGCCTGATGTTGGCTGCCTTCCTGGCTGCTGCCCGTTCTATACCCTTCAGATACTGTCTTCCGCATGCAAGCACATCCCACCGGCGGGGCCTGCCTCCAATTTTGTGGAAGTGTCTACTTCCCCCAGGCCACCTCACTCCTATTATAGTTAATCCTTCTATATTGAGCTACAGGAGGTTTTTACTGGTGTGGAAACTGATGTGGCATTGGAATTTTATCCTTGTTTACATCTTCCTTTGTGTTGGAAAGCTTGGGATCAGTTCCAAAATCTGCTCAGCGAGCTTTCCTGTCTACTTTGGAAGAAACAAATGAACACTTGACAATACCTGGTGTCCACGACCAAGCCCCAAGGCAACTGTTTTTTATTGTAAACTTGTATTATTTTATCTTACTTTTGCTTTTAGACACACGAATATATATATGATATATACACACATATATATATGTATATATATGATATATATATACATATATATATGGCACTGGCCAATATATATCATATATATATTGGCCAGTGTTAGTTCACCTCTCTCAATTTCAAGTCTCAATTGGGACTTGATGGCTTTGTGGTTCTAAGGAAACAAGTCAAGGCTGGTGATGGTGTTCCACAAAGGTAGTTTCAACCTTTAAGGTACATTAGAATCTTCCGCGGGCTCGTTAAAATAAATCGCAGGGTCCCAAAACCAGAGTTCTCTGGAGTAGTGCCTGAGAATTTGCATTTCTAACAAGTTCTCAGATGATGGTTCTGGGATTACACTTTGAGAAGTGGCCACAGGTAACCAGAAGCTGCTGAGGGTTATTCATCAGTTCAAGCGCTTATCTGAATGGATAAGGTAGAGAGGGCTGAGAAATAGATTTCCAATGTCCAATCCATGCTGTTAGGATGACTGCAGGCGTCAGAGGTCTTCTCAGCAACTTATTACTTAGAGAATGTGGTGAATATTAGTTTCTTTGAGCTTAGGTTTTCTCATTCATAAAATTAAGGTGGCCTCTGTGCTAGAGGTTCTCAACCTTGCTAATGCCATGACCCTTTAATACAGTTCCTCATGTTGTGATGACCCCCAACCACAAAATTATTTTGTTGCTACTTCGTAACAGTAATTGTGCTACTGTTAATGAATCGTATTGTAAATATCTGTGTTTTCCGATGGTCTTAGGCTCTACAGCAGCGGCTCTCAACCTGTGGGTCTATGCTGTCCTCACTCGAGTGTTGTGAAGGTGAAGTAAAATGGGTGTGAAGATGTTTGAACTGTAAAGTGGGATGGCACTGGGAGGTATTGCAATGGTGTTTCAATACACTTCTTAAAACATTGCCCGCTTCTTTGGGCTCTCTTGCTTTTTCTCATTAATTATAGAAACTTTAATCCAGGAGTATAAAATAGTACTTTTACTGCTATCATAAACTCAGACTTCAAACTCCTAAGACAATCTCATTCGGTGAGATCAGACATGCCCTATAAAACATTACACAGCGCTAAGAAATGATTCCGTCTTTATAGCTGTAAAAGGAGAAGTACAAGACCCTATGGTGACTTGGGGCGCAATCCCAGTTAATGTTTCCTCCCTGTTTAGACGGGCCCATTAATAAAAATGGTTACAAGTTACACAGCACGTTAAAAAAAGAAAATCACGGCGCACAATGGTGAACCCCTTACTTGCACATACTCTTGTAACTTCTACTAATTTATTTGTCTCTGGGAGTGGCAAGTCCTCCCAATACTGGATGCGGCTGTTTTTCTCGCCCTTAGGGCTTTCAGCTCACTCCAAGGACCGGGTGCAGCGCTTGCTCAGATCGGGTGGTGTGTCTGTGATTTTGCAAGTGCCATCCTCTGTACCTGATTCCTTAAGGCCAGTGTTTCCCAAACTTCTCTCATGATGAGAATCACCTGGTGGAGTTGTTAAACTACAGGTTCCTGAATCCCAACAAAGAAGTGCTAAACATATCTATGCATTTTTGAGAACATAGATATGTTTAGCACTTCTTTGTTGGGATTCAGGAATCTAAGCTTAGAGCACTAGTTAAGTATACAATTTTATCTATATGTTCCCCAAAATTCTAGGTTAGCACTAGGAATCTGTAGTTTAACAACTCCACCAGGTGATTCTCATCATGAGAGAAGTTTGGGAAACACTGCTTTAGGCCTTCAATGAGAATCTCAGATTATTAGCCTCAGGGTGCCTGGGGCTTTAAGAAATATCACAAAACGTCAGCCAGGCTGCTGACAAGGTTCTGCAGACTTGGGTTTCTGGAGAGGGAAAGATCAGGTTCCGGGTCTGATCCATGAACTTGCCAGGGTCCCAGGTGGGGAGAGCAATGGGGTCTCGGGGAGCCCTGCACCTGGTTCCCGCGGCCCCGGCCCCGCCCCCCGCCCGCCGGGCCGCGTGCGCGCGCTTCTCCCGGGCGCCGGCAGGAGGCGCCCGCGGCTCCCAGGCGCGGAGCCGGCCGGAGGGCGGAGGCGAGGGGAGGAGGAGCTGGAGGGGGCGCGGCTTGCGGCCCGTCCCTCCCGGCCTCCCGACCTCCCTCTCCGTCCGGCCCAGGGCGGGCGGCCGGGCAGCGGGGGTCGCGGCGGTAACGGCGCAGGCGGGCGGGGGCGGCGAGCGCCCGGCTCCGGGTGTTAGGAGACAAGATGGCGGCGGCGCCCCGGAGGCCGGTCCCCTCCTCTTCTCCGCGCTCCTCCGCCCCGCCGCTCGCCGCCTCCTCCTCCCCGGTCTCCTCCTCCTCCTCGGTCGCTGCCTCCTCCTCCTCCTGCCGCAGCCCTAGCGAGGGCCGAGGCTTCGGCCCGCTGTCCCGGCGCTCCGGAGGCGGGTAGACGGCGCGCGGCTCCGGGGCCGCGCTGGGGCCGGGGCGGCGGCGGCGGCGGCGGCGGCGGCGGGCGGCGGGGATGGGGTCGCAGACGCTGCAGATCCTCCGGCAGGGGGTGTGGGCCGCGCTCAGCGGCGGCTGGTACTACGACCCGCACCAGGCCACCTTCGTCAACGCGCTGCACCTCTACCTGTGGCTCTTTCTGCTCGGCCTGCCCTTCACCCTCTACATGGTGAGTGTGGGGGCGGGGCGGCCGGGCGCCGGGGCCCGCGGGCCGCGGCGGCGCTCCCCGTCCCCCTGCCCGGGCCCGGGGCGTGCACCCCGCCCTCCCCACGCCCGCCTGCCCGCCCGCCCCCGGGGGCCGCGGCCCGGCCCGCTGTCACGCTCCCCTCCCCCTGCCTGAGGGTTTCCCCTACTTCAGGGATGACAGCAGGAACGGAACAGCGGGCAATCCCCCACCGCCGCCCCACCCCCGTGCGTCCTGGGCCCCGGGGGCCTCCCAGCCTTTCCGCCCGGAGTGCCGGGTCCGAGGCGCCGAGCCTTCCTCGCCCGGGGGACGCCGCATTCCTCCCTGGCACGCGCGCCCGTTTGCGCCGCGTCCCCCCGGGCGCCCCTGGCACTGCCTCTGCCGCCCCTGGCACTGCCTCCGCCCCGGGCGGCGCTCACTCCTCCCCGGGGAGCGCCCGCGCCGCGTCCCGGTCTCCGGGCGGCGCGCGGAGCCTCGGGAGCCTCCGGGGCCGGGCCGAGGCGGGGGCCGCTCCGCCTGGGAGGGACGTGTGTGCCTGCCGGCCCGGCCCCTACTCCCTCATCCGTGGTGGTTGGAAACCTGATTGTTAACCTTCCTGCCTCTAAAAATCATTTTTTTTTTTAATTTTTTTTTTTGGGTAGCCACTGGTTCTTTTCAGTTCAGCCTCGTGTCCAACACTCCCCCCTCCACCCCCGTCGATGGTGGTGTCTCCAGGCCAGCTTTGGGGGGGAGGGAGCGGAGATTCGGGGGATCTGGCTGGCATTTCAGCGGATTTGTTTGGGTTGGTTCAAGGCCTTTCACTGATTGGCACAAGGGAAAGCGCTGCCTGTTGCTGGATTCAGGACCATCAGCTTCTCCGAATGATCAAGTTTTTAAAGCTCTATTTTCACAGAAAGTTCTAAACCTTATATATATAGGTTTAGGGTGGGGTTTTGGGGAAAATAATGAGGAAGAGGGATGATACTTAAGCTCGGATTAAATATGTTTTTTAAATAACGGGAAGGGAGGAAAAGATGGTAACTTTATTTTAGGAAAATGGCTTTGAATATATTTCTGCTAAGTTTGTGCTGCTTCACGGAGCTGAAGTAAGGATGTTGGATTAGGAAATTTGGGGAATAGGACTGCTAAAAGTGAGGACACTCAACTTACCTCTGAGTGAAGCTCATTTTTACTAATTGGCCGGGGAAAATGCTTGGTTAGGGGGAAAAGTGCTAAATTTCACTTTCTCAAACAGATTTTAATTTTTCATTGGAATTGTTTTGAGGGGGCTTATTGCTTGAGGGGAAAATTACTATTTGAAAAATGCTGATGACCGATGGCTTATTTATTTATTTATTTATTTTTTTTAGGGGACTTGTACAATCTTGCCCAATTCTGAAAATATTTCTCGGAGTATTAGAATTTTCAATTAATTCTGGCCTGGGGAGTACTTCTGCTCTTTCCAGGAATATGATATCATTAATGAACAGGTTAATTACTTTGGGTGCAAGAATCCTCGGGCTGGCACAGAGCTTTCTTTCATAGCAAATTTTTGTTACATTCAGGAGGATTGTAAATTTAAAAGACTGGTCCTTGAGATGGAAGGATCACTTGCTGTGTCCCAGTCTAAGATTTCCATGTTAGTCCATGAATGGTGCTAGTAGCTAACATTGAGTTTAAGCTTCATTTGAGGAGTTTATTCAGTTAAATTAATTCACAAATAATATTTGAGTTTCTACTATGTACTGGGCAATTTGCTGGGTTCTTCCTGGGAAAATGAAACTGCTTCTCTGACTTTTTGTCTCAGTTAATGGCAGTTCTGCTCTTCATAAATATTATTAAAATTCTCTTTGATTCTTTTTCTCTGTTCACATCCAGTTCATCAACAAATCTTGTGGATTCTGTCTTCAAAACCTAACTAGAATCCAGCTAATCATCATCATGACTCCCTTGGTTCAAGCCATCGTTATGTCTCCTTTGGATTATTGCAGTGTTCTAATCAGGCTCACTGCTTCCATTCTGTATTCTTGGTTCTCCGTGCAGAAGTCTGAGTGATTCTTTAAAACATAGATCACATCTCGGCACTCCTCTGTTCTCAGAGCCCGCCCACCAATGTGTCTGTCATCCTCCCAACCCCCTAACACATACATTTGCCTTCCTGCAATTTTTTCTACAAAACTGTTCCTGCCTCACAGGCTTTGTGCTTGCTCTTCCCCTTCTGTCTAGGTGACTCCTTTCCTCCAGATAATCTATGTGATTTGCTCCACATATTTCAGCTTTCAGTATAATGTGAGGCTTTCTCTGATAACTTATATAAAATACCAACTTCCCAGCTATTACAATATTTCCTAACCCCCTTTTCCTCTTTTATTTGATAGCATTTATCACTAATTGATATACATTTATTTACTGACTGTCTTGCTTCTCTCATTAGAATATAAGCTTCAAGAGGGCAGAAACTGATATGTTAAAAAAATGCACTTACAACTTGCAGTGAAAATATCGCTTAAAAACAAGTCATTTGGAGAAGCTGATTGTACTGAATTCAGCAATAGGCAGTACTTTCCCTTTGCCAGCCAAAGGCCTTAAACCAACCCAAACAAATCTGCTGAAAAAAGTTCATTGCTTCAAACCAGTATGAGTGCCAAGCACAGAGTAAGCACTCAAATACTAAATAAATGATTAGACATAAACAAGACACAGCTTTGTCTTCAAGGAACAATGAACAGTTACAAGCATTAAAACTGTTGTGACCCGGAACTTACAGTCAGGATGATCTTAGTCCATGGGCAGTTAGCCAGGAGGATTTGTAAACATTTTAGGAAACATACTAGTACTTCAGTATTGAGGTAGATAGTTTGAAGTATACACTTGAAGGAAAATCCAACATTTCACGTTAAAATCTATAATAATCATTATAGATTATTATTATTTGTTCTTCCAATAATAATTACAGATGATGCTAACTAGTATGTTTGTCCTCATTTTACCAATGAAGATAACTGATTTTTAGCCATCAGTGATTTGTTTTGTGGCCTTAAGCAAATAGTGAGCTGGGAGTTGGAGTTGATATAACAGAACTTGCCTTGTACTAGCAGCCTTTTCTTTCCCCTTTTTTTTTTTTTTTTTTTTTTTTTTTTAAAGATACAAAGTCTGTGAAGAGTTAGGGAGAATCTTAGGATGGGATTTATTTATTTAAAATATATTTTATTGATTTTTTACAGAGAGGAAGGGAGAGAGAAAGAGAGCTAGAAACATTCATGAGCAACATCGACCAGCTGCCTCTTGCACACCCCTTACTGGGGATGTGCCCACAACCAATGTACATACCCTTGACCGGAATCGAACCTGGGACCTTTCAGTCCACAGGCAAACGCTCCACCACATAGCCAAACCGGTTTCGGCAGGATGGGTTTTATTTTAAATATCTGTTTTGGTGAATGTAATTGCTTTTCTGATTTTGTTTTTAGTTAGAAAAATTTTATTGAATAAATTTGACATAACGTGTACATTTAAGGTGTATTGCTTATTGCTTTGATACATTTATATATTGTAATATGATTGCTGTTGTAGTGATATTTATCACATTACATAATTTGTATACATTTATTGTATGTGCACTAGTTCTCTGGTTTATTTACTACTGGTTGCAAATTTGTACCCTTTTTGAAAAAATGGTTGACTATTTTAGGTTCCACGTGTAAGTGATATTATACAGTACTTTCTATTTCTCTGACTTATTTCACTTAGCATAATAAGGTCTTAGGACTTGTTATACAGGATTCAAACACTTGTAGCTTTTGTGGATACATCAAAGGTAGAATTTTTAGTTCAGTTATAATAGTTGTGAAAGTCAAAGAGTCATCTTTTCACCTTTCATTGTCCTTCTGTTTCTCAGAAGACATTCACCCCATTTATCTTGTCATCAAGATTATTTTTGTACCTGACATGTCACAGATAGTGAGCTTTATGGATGTGAGCTTCGTGGCATTTTTTGTGTTTTGGAAAGCAGACTGGAATTGTGTTATCTGGATTTGTATGTGTTGGCTCCGTAATTGAATGTGTCCTTTGGACAAGACTTTGCACCTTACTGAACCTAATTTATTCATTTGTGAGTTATTGCATGGGCATTTGTAAAGAAAACATTTGTGAAGTAGAAAAATTATTCACCTACCGAGTGGCGTTCAGTAACTGTCATTTGAAGAAGGGCTTATTAAAACTGTATAATGTTCTATGACTGCAGGAGATGACATAGTAACTCAAACCATGATCTTAACATACTGCTCAACATACTGTTTACCTCAACATATTCCTCTTTTGTAAAGAGGGGTGTACACTAGGGTGATGAACTGTGACACTAACTCTCTATATAAGTGATTCTCTGACTCCAGCTAACAACTGAATCACTTGAACATGTTAAAAATGTGCACTTGTGCAGGTCCACTCTGATGTAGAAGATTTGGAGTGTGGCCCATTAATTTATATTTTATGAGTATCCAGGTCAGTTTAAAGAACTTGATAATGCCCATAAGTTCCTTAAATCTAGCAGCCTACTCAGCATCTCCTCTTGACTGTCTCAGAGGCATCTCAAAGGTATCATGTCCAAAACCATCCTTGATTCCCCATTCAAGGCACCACCCCAAAACTTGTTTTCTTACTCTGTCTTTGTCATCTTAGTTTGTGGCGCCAGCTTGTATCTAGTTGCTTATGCCATCCCCATCGTCTTATGAGCAGATGTTTTCAATTCTGCTGTCAGACATAATTTCTGACAAATGTTAAATGTAAGGACAGACCTTTCTACTGTCTTTCCACCTTCTGGTCCACACTGTTTTTGTTTGCCTTAGCTTCTATTCTTGCCCTATTACAACTATTTTTCCCCCACAAAGTAAATGACATCAAACTGTTTGTGTCATTCCTCCCCACCATTCTTTAATATCATTCACTGACTCTTGCATTTAGAAAAAAATCTAGCTTCCTTACTAAGGCCCCCAGAGCCAGTTCTGCCT